CACCCGTTATCTAGCAACCCCAGCAGAGTTCCACCCGTTACCTAGCAACCCCAGCAGAGTTCCACCCGTTACTCTGCTGCAACCAGACTCAAATGTCATTATCTAAGAATGATTTTGTGGAAAAAATGTAATGAATTTGTTTTTTATGGACCATAGAGCAGTGATGTGTGGGCCAAAGTTTAAACTACTGGGGAAGCCATAAAATTTAATTCGATTGAAAATTACTTTTTTTTTTTTTTTTTTTTTTTTTTTTTTTTTTTTTTAATGAACTCTGCATATCGAAAACATAAAGATCCAAAACATGACAAAGGTTTCAGACTTATAAAAAAAAAAAAAAAAAAAAGACACGTTACAATTTTTTGTGTCATCAGTTTTGTGTTTTGATGGTAAAAATTGACCACTCATGACTTGTGGCCAAGGGCCGAACAAAATCCTATCACGGACCACAAATGGTCCCCGGGCCACACTTTGGACACCCCTGCCATAGACCTGACCTATCCTATCCTATTCCAGGAACATAATGGGTCACTTTTAAAACAAACTTGCCAAACAAGATGGCCGCCATCTGCATCCTGATGGTTTCAGTAATAGTAGACTTATTGAAACCATTTTGTATGGATTTTCTGCATATGAAGGTCTTTAGCATCTAGATGTTGCTATTAGCTGTAAATGAAGCTAATAAGTCAGAGCAGAACGTGAACGTAGAGCTGTTGACCTTTAACCTGCTTTGCCTTGCAGCCATGAGCCACCTGAATGGCCAGCGGCTGCATGGGAAACCTCTCCGGATCACGCTGTCCAAACACACCAGCGTCCAGCTTCCTCGTGAAGGCCATGAGGACCAGGGCCTGACCAAAGACTACAGCAACTCCCCGCTGCACCGCTTCAAGAAGCCCGGCTCCAAAAACTATTCCAACATCTTTCCTCCCTCCGCCACCCTGCACCTCTCCAACATCCCGTAAGTCTCCAGAACTCAGCCAGGAACGACGGTAAGAAAACGATGTCGGCGCTCTTATAAAACTGGTCTGCCTGTGTGTTTTAGCCCTTCTGTGGTTGAAGACGACCTGAAGATGCTGTTTTCCAGCTCTGGAGCCATCGTCAAGGCCTTCAAGTTCTTCCAGTAAGTCACTGATTCGCTCTTTCTAACCTTGAAACCTGTAAGATTACAACTTCTTGTTACTAAAACGTCAGCAGCTGTGTGTGGAGTTTAAATCCAAACCTTGATTACCACAGACTTGGCTCTGAAGAACAATATCCTGTTGTTAAACCGTTTCTACATTTATGAACTTTTAACAAGCCATATTGTTTGACTTTGGTTCTGTCTTTTCTTCAGTCCTTACAGTTTTATGTATAATCCTGATATGTTAGTAGAGCTGTTGTCAGTCTGTTGCTATGACAACTAGATTGTGTGTAGTGTAGCTGACAGAGTGGAAAAAAAGTAGGCTGTGAGTGAGTTGCTAGGTAACCAAAGAGGGAGTGAGCTAGTTGACTCCACCAACCTAGCTTAGCTAGCTATGAGAGGTTGAACAGCTAAAACCTTTCCTCTGCCTTCATTTCCCAGAATGCCATGCGGTTCTGAATTGGAGTTCAGTGAATATTATAAATCTTTAATATTCTAGCAGATGTATTATCTATTTATATTCATATGTTATTGATTTATTATCCAGCCCTAACTTAGGATTTTGCGCGTTAACTTGAGAGCTAAAGCCAGTGGTCGTCACCGTTGGCGAACAGTTTTTTTTTCTCCATTCTGTAGGGAAATGGAGGGCGTGATTGGTTTTAGAGGCCTTTAACAGCATCTGATTCTGAATTTTTGTTTTTCTGAAGCGTACTGGGAGATGAAAAATCTGTTTTTTCTCATCCAGGAAGGACCATAAGATGGCTCTGATCCAGATGGGTTCGGTGGAGGAAGCCATCGACTGCCTCATCACGTTCCATAACCACGACCTGGGAGAGACGCACCACCTGCGCGTCTCCTTCTCCAAGTCGTCCATCTGAGCCGGACAGTTTTTATTTTTATACGGCGTCCACTACACTCCAATCATTCCGATGCAGAAACCACCACGAAGTCTGCTGTGATGTTAAATTATTGTTTGGTTTTTGTTTGACTCTTTACCTTCAGAGAAAGGTAGGATTATCCCATAAATACGACACTTCAGAGGTGGTTCTCTGAAGTCCTGTAATTATTCTCTAAAATCAGAGAAAAGTCAGTATTCTGAGTTTTAACCGTTTGATAAAAGGTCAGGTTGTCAGAATTTAATGTCCTCCTTGTTGGGAAGTTTTTAGCGTCTTCTGCCTTTCGACTTTTAATCACGGATTAAAGTCGGCCTTCACAAACCCTTCAGAACTGACTTTAACTCAGAACGATCACTTTAGTCTCTGATTCTCGCCTGGTTTAATAAAAAATTAAGGTTGTTAAATGATGACCCCAGTTTGGGAAGTCGTAGCTTCTGGTGTCACGTTTCACCCGGGCGTTCTCTAGAGACGCCTCTTTGACCTTAAAATGACCCCTGTGCCTTATTCTGACTCAAACACAAAAACGAAGCCTCTGAATTGGCAAAAGCAGGTTTACAGTTGATAAAGGTTTACTGTTGAGATGTATTACAGATGTATTCCTATTTTTGTGTATTTTATTGGTGTTGTCAGTGCTTTCTGTTAGTGTTTTGTAATGTTGGTTACTGTAGCATCAAACATGTGAACTGAGTGTTTTAGCAGCTTCGCTACGTCGTTTAGATTTAACTTTTCTTTCTCGTCACTTTCTGGCTCTTTTCTTTCCCAAATATGCAATCATTATGTAATCATATATTGTAGCAATATTTTAATCATTCCTGAGCTTTTGTTTTATTTTCCTCGCTGTCGGAGAGCTCGGCCGTTTCTGCTGCCTTCTTCGACCCGAAGATGAATGTTTTTTGTTTTGTTAGTTGCGTGTCTCTCAGAACGTTTTTAATTTATACGTTTGTGATCCACTACAGCTAAAACCAAAAACAGCCTTTTAGATGCAAACAATTCCACCTGCCTCAGGTTTCTGATTTTTAAGGACTAAAAAAACAAAATAATAGTGGTTCAGGCTTTTATTGGTGGGGTTTTTTTTGTTTGTTTTGTTTTTTCCTGTGAAAATATAAATGACTGCAACTGATTTGGTTACGTTTGGTTACGCGGCGTGCCTTCAACCCAGCGCTGAAGTCGCAGCATCACAAAGTGAAATCTTCTGACAGTTTAGTCAAAGTTTGCTGGTTTGGTTCATTTATGTCTTAATTTTACAAACTGTCGACATTCCAGGCACTTGGAAGTCCACTCCATTTTCAGCGTAGCGCAATATTTTGCTGTCTGAACGAAGTGTTTCGTAGAAATGAGCTGCTGAGGTTTACGGTGGCGATGCGTTCGGTGCACCTGGGAAAAGTTCGAGGAACTTCGATTAGAAAGGAAAAAAGAGACAACGTACCAGTTCAGATGTTTAACGTGAAAATTTCACGATACAATGATTTTTACATCATGTTTAAATGCGAAAATGTCGCGTTTTGACGAGTTTTATCATGTCGTAACGTAAAACTTTTTCATTTTAACGTGTTTTACATACCGCTACAACGGGAAAGTTTTTCACTATAACTTGATATTAAACTTGTTTTGTTAAAACAAACTTTCTCATTATAGCGAGTTTTACATCATGTAACATAAAAGTTTTTTGTTTTGTATTGTTATACTGTGAAAGTTTGTTTTGACCAGTTTTATCACGTTGTAATGTGAAACCTTTTCCCTATACTGAGTTTCATTTTGTTGTAATGCGAAAATTTAACATTTTGATGAGTTTTAAATTTCGTTATAACAAAATTTCTCGTTGGAGCGAGTTTTACATTATTATCCAAAAGTTTCACGTTTTGACGAGTTTTATATCTCGTTATGTGAATTTGTCATTTTAATGAGTTTCATGGCGTCATAGTGTGAAACTTTGGAACTGAAAGAAAAAGGTTTTGGATGATATCGTCAAAACATTAAACTTTCACATTATAACAATGTAAAATGAGAGTTTTTCACGCAACACAATATGAAACGCGTTAAACAAGAAACTTGTTATACCAAGATGTAAAACTCCTTTTGACAAACTTTCACATTATAAGAATATGTAAAACTCGTTTCTCATTTTAAGGAGATTTAAAACTTGTTAAAACGAGAAACTTGAGTTTTATATGTCGTTATAACAAGAGTTTCTCACGTTATAAAGATATGAAACTTGTTAAAAAGAGGGACTTTCATGTTGGAGATAAAACTTGTTAAAATGAAACTTTTTATAAGATGCAAAACTCTTTATAACAAACTTTAATGTTATAACCAGATGTAAAACGTGTTATAACAAGTTTTTCTTTTAAATGGGATATAAAACCCGTTAAAACTTGAAACTCGCATTACAACCAGATGTAAAAGTTGTTGCAATAAAATGTCTCATTTTGACAAGTTTTAAATCTCTAGCATTTGAGTTTCTTGTTTAATGAGTTTTATATCTCATTATAACAAAATAATGCTCCTGAATTTATTTCCCACTTTTGGCAGTTGAATTCTTCCATAGATGAGAAATATTGATTTCGCTGAACCTAAAGAAGTCTCCTCTGATTGGTCGGTTGCAGTGGTCTGATCCGACTCTGCCTACTAAATCTGAATTAATTTTATTGGCTAAAATATTTTCTGTAAAACTAAGACTACAACATTGTTTTTCACAGGTTTTTGTCGTTAAATGACATTTACTTTGCAACTATTTAACAGAAAAATAGTTTGCTTATATATTTAATGTGTTTTTTGAGGGTTTCTGTTAGTGTCGAGAGTTACGAGGATTTCCCACCATGAAGTAAAGTGGACCAATGAAAACACTCCAAATGTTGGACATAAAGTCCTTTATTTACTGTGAAGAAGCTTTTAACTGCGAACATAACGATCCGGCTGCTTGTTCAGTTTCTCCCTGGGTGCACCTGAATGCATCGTGACCTTTCGTTGTCTGGTGGAGCAGGAGCCCGAACCAGGTCAAAGGTCACCTGACTGTACATACATGTTTTATACATGGCTATCTGAGAGGAGATTGTTGGTTTTGTATCCAATGAAACGTGTATATTTTGATTCGAGTGTGCAACAAGTTCTGAGCCTTACATTGTGTCACAAACAAAAAAAATAAATCAGTTTTTTTTTTTTAAACACTTGGACTTTTGTTGTTTCTTATGTCTGTTTTTGTTAAAAGTATAAAAAAGGAACATGTCCTCTTTTAATTTTTATGGTTTCTTTGTCCAAAAGTGGATTTTAAAATCAGGTAAATGTCATGAAGCTGTCACGATTTAACTGAAAACTATGGTGGCCCAGAGGTGCCAATTCATAGTTAACGCATGAATAACACAAAGTTGAAAATTTGCAACAAAAAAAGTAACATTTTGAGAATAATCTAAAACATTTTCTAGAAAATATCTTTTAAATATCTGAGTTTGAAAAGTTTTTTCTTGCAAATGTTTTGAGTTTTGGAGCTCAGAAATTTTCTTAATTTTTCATAATTTGAGTTTTCTTGGTGGAAATTTACACCACATTTTCTTCTATTTATGCCTAATGGGATGGCCCCAATACATTCAGTCTGACTCAATACTCTGACTAGATATCACCTCAGTGGTTCTCAGGAAACATAATTCTTCAAGCCTTACGTTTCTGAGGACTTTGAGTCTGGATGAGTCTTTATCCCTCTGCTGGCTAAAGGCGCTGTATATTTTTAACCAGAATATATCCTTCAGTTTTCACATGTAACAAGTTTAATTCATGTTGACATAACACGTAACGTCTTAACACAAAGTGAGAACAAAAATATGAACTAAAAAAAGGTGATTTACCAGCAGAGGGCGCCAAACTCTAGAAACAACCATGAAGTTAATACAGAAACTGCAAGAAAAAAATTAAGATGGACGTAAAAGTTATAAACTTTTAAAGCCGTACTTATGAGTAAGCTTATCCTGTCCTTAATTGTGTTTTAGAACATAAACTTGTTTTTGTGCCTTAAATGTTTTTGTTTTCCCATCAAACTGAAATATTTGAATAAAAATAAAATAAGTTTCTCATGTGATACGTGGTTAAAATAACAAAATAATTAGAAAAACGTGAAACTTTGCCAATTAAAACTGACTAAAGTCTGGTTTTATGGTGTTCATCATTGTTCTGGTTTCAACTAAAAAAGAAAAAAAAAACTTGGGAAAAAAGTTCAAAAGAATCCAGAAGTGACCAGATGATCTGCAGGAAACATAAAATGTTTACAGACATAAAACTTCCCACTAACCACAGTCGATTCAAACCGGTTTAGTTTCATCAGCGGTTAGTCCTTTAGAAAAACAGATCATACAGGAATACAGTTTGTTCAATCCAATATAGACAGATTAGTGATAGTTTCAAGTATGTGCAGACGATATTATTTAAAAAGTCCATCTACTTCATCTACTAAATTTTATATTTTTAAAATTTATATATTTTTAAGTTTGAAAGCATTTATTTGTTATAATTTTCCTAATTACAGTTAAAACATTTAAAATGAGAATATAGCAGAATGATAAAAGAAACATTTTAATGCAGAAATGTGATCTGAATGAAAAGCTTAAAGGTTGTCCATTTTCACAAACTACTTTTATTCTGACAAATGATGTTTATTCCAATTGGACTTAGTTCACAAACAAAACAATTTAGTTCATTAATTAAATTAGTTTAAAAAGTTTCCAAAGATTGGATGGAGTTACTGACTTAAAGCATTCACTCCTCCAACTACTTCCTGTCTTCTTCTTTGTCATTTCCTACAGTGGTAACTTCCTGTTGCTGATCATGTGACTTGTGTGATGCACAAAGAGCATTTCTATCAGAGTTTTGCAAAATACGATATAAATAAAAACCCACCTCGTCCTACCACACAAATCTTTTATCAAAAAACGTGAGTTTTTGAAATTGGAGCATTTCCATTATGTACATTTATTTTCATAATTCCAAATTGTGAGATTTAAAGGTCAATGGAAATACAGCTAGTAGCCAAGTTTTCATTCCAAATGTGAAATACATGAATTTATACAGCCAGAAAACACACCTCATCCTGGCATAAAAACTTCGAAAAATTAGTTTTTTTCAAAATTGCTGTTTCCATTAAACAAACTTATTTTTGGAATTCCAATTTGTGCAATTTAAAGGTCAGTGGCAATGCACAGAGTAACTATGTTTCTATTACAAATGTGTGCAAAACTTTATCAATATTCCACTAATGTAATCTTGTTGTCTTCTTTGTGGTTTTCACCAGTAGAAACTTCCTGTTGTTGATCTTGTGACTTGAGTGATGTAAAAAAAGCTTTTCCATTGCAGTTTTGCGGAATATGTTAATTTTGATACAACTAAAAAAAACATCTTGTGTAAAAACTTAGCAAAAAACCTGTTTTTTCCTAAATTGGTGTTTCCAGTAAGCAAATTTCTTATCATAATTATAATTTGCACTATTTTTAGGTAAATGGAAATGCAGTGACAGATTTTAACGTGTTCTAATTGTCGTCTGACCTGATTTTCTGTCTGTTTGGAAACCAAACCGGATTTTTTCTAAACGTTCTGTAATGTTCTTCATGCTAAAATTAAAAAACGGAAATTTGTCCGTTTGCAAGCAGTTTTCAGAGCAGCTATCTGCAGACGCTTTGTGAGCTGAAGATGAGATTTATCCAAGAGAACGATCAAAGCTTCTTTTCTTTTCTGAGAAAGGAGTGAGCGGCAGAGATATTAAAACCAAAGAAGAAGAGAAGTGAAGCGTTCACTTTCACAGTCAGTCCTGTGGAAACAACCAGAGGAGATCTGAGGCTTTACAGACTGGAGGAAGTTCATATCCGTGTCTTCTTATTCTCACCAGCGACACGTCGGGCCGCTGACTCGCAGCCGAACAAAGAGCGGTTTGAGAGGAGGAGGAGGGAAACCAAATGCCGGCACGCCAGCTTGCTCTCACACGGCTGTCAAACAGGAATCCCTCCAGTCCGAGCTGAGTTAGCATAATCCCCCAAAACGCTCCTGGACCCGAGGAA